TAAACGTCTACCACATGGATCAATTCGGGCTTTCCGAGGCCTCCCACACCGCCATACGCACTGAGGGAAAAGAAAGTATACCGAGTTTGTTTTTTAAGCAATTTAAATTTGAAAGAATTGTTGTTAAAGTTGATCATGTCTATTTAACCATCACTCAGTCCTGTAACATTTTGTAAAAGGCAATCTGTGGCGGGGTAATTATGTAAAAATAGTGAGTGAGTGTGGTTTTACGCCGCTTCGAGCGTGACGAGCGAACGCTTGAATCACTAGGCCACCCCACCGCCCCTTGTGTAAAAATAAATTGGTTCAATGAAGACTGGAAATGAATCTGCAACCACATGACCCCAACCATCCTTGTAATGTAGCAAATTTATCCCGATAAAGCAAATTTATTGATTTTCAAAGATAAGATTGTGTATTGTGCATTTGTTTAATTCTTAAAAGTTTGAAATGAAATTATGTTTAATTAAAGAAAACCAACCTCGTTGAAGTACTCTTTGAGTACTGACTGACTGAGTATGGTTTTATGCCGCTTTTAGCAATATTCCAGCAATATCACGGCGGGGGACACCAGAAATGGGCTTCACACATTGTACCCATGTCGGGAATCGAACCCGGGTCTTCGGCGTGACGAGAAAACGCTTTAACCACAAGGCTACCCGAACGCCTCCTTTGAGTACTAACTAAGCTTCAGTACAATTCATTTTTATATATTATATCTCTAATTTAGGATATTTTCAATTGAAATTCAAACGTTTGATAAAATCAAATCAGAGGTATAGTTTCTTTTGCCCTACAGTTTAACTGAAATACGGTTCAATGCAATCCTCATTCACGCTATTTTTCTAAAACAGTTAATATTTCGCGAACTCTTTAATTTTCCATGATGTGAGGAAATATAGAAAGAATGAAATAAAAATGATTTTGGTAATGACAAAACAGAGGAATATATTCTCAATCAAATGACCTAATTTGAAGTGCTGATGGCTTTTCGGTTTTTATTCAAGTGAGTGAGTGAGTATGGTTTTACGCCGCTTTTAGCAATATTCCAGCAATATCACGGCGGGGGACACCAGAAATGGGCTTCACACATTGTACCCATGTCGGGAATCGAACCCGGGTCTTCGGCGTGACGAGCGAACGCTTTAACCACAAGGCTACCCCACCGCCCCTTTTATTCAAGGACGATCGCGTGGGAGATTCCGTGTTATCTGGTCCCCGGCAACCTATGCCTGTTGTATGAGGAGCCGTAATGGATCGTGAGGTCAGGCTAGGTGACTTGATTGATGCCATCGTAAATAACAATCACTAGTTGGTCCAGACTCGATTATTTTCAGGTCGCCGTCATATAATATTGTGGTGTCAAACAAAAAAACAAAACAAAAAACAAAACAAACACATAATTAAAATAAATAAAACGTATAATAGCCTGCGTCATGCTGATGAGTCTCTGAGTATGTACGCACACATGAGGTCAATAATGTTGCGCCATTCGGATTGGGTCGATAATGTTCCGTTATCTCCACCCGACAACCATCCACTAAAATCACCGTGCTGGTAATTCGTGAACAGACGGGGTGAGGTCGGGTGTTTCCGGCAACTTCCGTCACAAGAGTGACCGGATGTGAAGCGAAATGTCCTGTGAACCGTCAAGTTGTTATAGATAACATTACTTCGTACAGAGATTACAGTCTCGACACGAAAAATAGTGCGACAGATATAACTTCTATTAATGTATGTCGACTCACACGATGTATTGTGGTTTAATCACGATAATTTTTTTGTGAGTAAATACTATTCCGGTATTATCAGAACATTATCAGCGTTATGCCCTGGAGTTAGATAGGATATAATCTGATAATGAACTGATATAAGCTAGGTTATTCTCACCAGAATAACATATGTGTATGATTCATGTAGTAACATTGCCGTAACAGTATACAGACAGACAGTTTTATTCATTATAACGCCCCCGGTTCAAAATACGGGTGGTCAGGCTCGCTGACTTGGTTGATGCATGTCATCGATCCCAATTGCGTGGATCGATGTTCATGATGTAAATCACTGGATTGTCTGGTCCCGACTCGATTATTTACAGACTGCCGTCATATAGATGGAATATTGCTGAGTGCGGCGTAAAACAACAAACCAAACCAAACCAAACCAAAACATACACAAGCATGATCATTTTGTCAGAATAGACTGACATTTCTGACAACGTCAGTGTTCTTACTCTGCATGATGGAAATAAAATGTTAAGTATAGGATATTTACTAAAATATTTTACAATGAACTGTTTCTCAATTCAGAGTTTATGTGACATACATAGAAAATGTTCAATTCATCTTCAACTGCAAAATAGCCTTGAAGCTTGCATGACATACAGTATTTTTTATTATAAATTGTTTTCATATCTGCCAGTTTCAAGAGCACGCTTGAAATTGCAACATCTAAATCGAGACTAGGATGTTTTCAAATGTTAAGGAAAATTATTGTAAATAATGAATGAGATTATCATACTGTAATCTGCCTAAAAGTTCAATGAAGGCAGCTTGGTTATGTTTCCTTAATAATCCAGGCAAAGCCAAATCTAAATTTCTATTTCTTATTTGTGTTGCCCATGTATGACGGGTGAGGTGAGGTGAGGTGAGGTGAGGTGAGGTGAGGTGAGGTGAGGTTAAATTGGGTTTAACGTAGCGTCCAAGATTATTGCATTTATATTGCACGTGCGCGCGCGCGCGCGCGTGTGTGTGTGTGTGTGTGTGTCTGTTGCTACTTGTACTAGTCCGGACTGATGCCGATTTATAGTGCTAGCTCACTGAGATACCATGCCGCAGTTTAACATGAATACCCCACTCAGACACAGTATACTGACACCGAGCCGACCAGTCCTTGTTTAAGCCTCTTGATGTCGAACGCCACACAGGGTAACAACAAGTACGATCTTTTAACGTTTGTTGGTATGACGCGGCCGGGCATCGAACCCCGGACCTTCCGCTCTCCGGGCGGACGCTCTACCACTAGACCACGGAGGCGGTCCCTTGTATTAAGGCCTACGTCATCCAAAGATTTTAACATAATATAACATTGTTTTGGTAGCCTATTGTTTGCTCAGTGTAATATTCTACTCCAATACTTAATAGCCTTTGTTATATTTATAAACTGAAAAGGCACTCTTCCACATTCACCTCGAACCATGTTACTACAAGTTGATTTACCAACCTTTTTACTAGATTTTCAAAATTTAATATGCACAGATTCAATAGTATTACAATATGTGGTGCCCCTTAATGTAGTATATACAATATGATACAATACATAATGTACATTACTGTACATTTTTCTATAATATTTTAAACTTGTTCGATCTTTGCCTTTTTTCACCCAGCAGTGAATGGGTACCCGGTAGGGTTGAGATTGTACTGGGCTGTGTACTCCCCATGGAGCTGAGAAAGAGCTGGTTAATCATAATACGGAGCTTCGGGCATACATTGCAAATGGAATTATGCGCTTTACAATTGGAATAATAATAATAATATTAATAATAATAAAAACAATAGCGTCAAACAAGGTGAAGGTGAAACGGGGTTTCACGTCGTGTACAATTATCGCACTTATATTGTGACGTTCATACCAAAACACGTCAAAAGATAGTACTTGATACCCTGCCTGGCGCTCGGCGTTAAGGGGCTCGGAGTCAGTATACTGTGTCTAAATGGGGTATTCATGTTTAAACTGCGGCATGGTATCTCAGAGGGCTTTGCACTTTAAAACCGGCATTAGTCCGGACTAGTACAAGCACACACACGCACGCACGCACACACACACACACACGCACGCACGCACGCACGCACGCACACACCCGTGGCTTTATATCTTGAATGTGACGTTAAACCCAAATTTCACCTCACCTCACCGAATACAGTTTAGATCGGCTTGTCGTCATGTAGACTTGCCGTTAGTGTATCATGGTACGCCCCGGGGTCATTTGCTCATTATTGACACGCTGATGTGATAAATAGCTATAATATTGCCGAGTGCTTCGTCAAAAGCCAACATTCTTTCTTTCACCTCCCCGTCTACTTACATGTTTTGTAAGGTCCAAATTTCTTCTGCCTCTCACTGTATCACAAGAATAAAAAAAAAAAAACTCTTGGAAACGACGATGTTCGTATTTTATAAACTGACTGCCAGACAAACAGATGAAGTTGACATTAGACAATAGAACAAATTAACATATAATTAACGATATAATAGCGGATATAAGTAAGATATACCGAAACAAAACATTCAAATTCCCCCGAGGGAAGCCAACATTGTAAATATTCACGTGATTATTACAGTGACGTTTAATATCATCTTTTGGGCGCGTGTGACCCGTCGTTTGAGGCGCCAAACTTGCTGTGTAGAGTTGCGCCCCTTAGCCATGCCAGGATCCACTGATTGCTATATCGAAGCCCTGATTATGGTACGGTTTTGTTACCACCCAAAATAAGTGTTGGCTTTCTCCTATATAGAGCCGATGTACATTGTATTTCAAATTCTGTTCAAACTCGCTCCCTCCCTCCCTCACTCACCCACCCACCAACCCAAGCCACCTACTCCGTTTCTTAGTTTTACCGAACGTGCAATTTGGATGCTATCCAAGGGCTAACAAAATCATGTTACATTCTCTCCATGGACACTGAAAAACTACACTGAGATACAAGGTTTTTATAATAGTATCATTCATAGAATGTTACCATTCTCCAAGAAATCAATACACTTAAGCCTATTGCATGAGTGCAATTGATTCTGTATTATCTTGGTTTGTTTAACAATCATGTTAAGCCTTAATGTTCCACTTGTTGTGGTGTGGGTGAAGTGTCTTCCCACTGAGGCTCAGTGCTGTTATCTGTGGGCCGGGGCTGGGACTGCAAGCGTCGCGAGAGCCTTGCCACCTGTCACGTTCTAACTCTGATAAGTTTGTTCTGACTCGGACAACACGGTTGGAAGCAATGGCCGTCGGTCATGTTGTTTACCTGTCAGCTCGTCTATAGGTCTTTGGCATATTGTAATGTCATCATGTTCTTGTTGGTTTTCTTGCTGTTTGTGACTGCAGCGGTGCCAGTTGACCGGCCAGAAACATCCAAAGGGTATGAAGATCATCACTTTACAGAATTTAGTAAGAACGACGGAGAAACGATGGATGAAAATCACCCCTTCAACGACCGACCCGTTGGAAGTGACGTTACAAGATCACGGGATGGATCTAACTTAATCACACCCGGATCTGACATGTTATCATTACATAAAGGACCTTACGAAAATGGGAAAGAAAAGTTCAATGGTGTGATTAGGAATAATGGTGGAAGATCTTCAAGCCGAATCAACCCAACAGAGACTTTATACACCTCATCTGACCATAAGGAACGCCCGAGAAGAAACGCATATATAGGGCCTACGAAGAATGTCAGCACGCAGGCAGCAGAAATGGATGTGGAAACAACAACTGCAGAGACATCGCGAAGAAAAGGTAATACTCCCTTAGCTTCGGAACTCTTTCAAGACGTGAATATCACTGCCATAGACACAGGGGATACATTAGATATCTATGAACATATCGGAAAGCTAAAGGGGGCTCAGAGGCTTGAGCTTGATCCGTGGGTCTTCGAAGAGGAAATTGGAATGGATCCCGATACCTGCTTTACCCGTCTATCTCTTACCAAAGCAACTATTGAGGAATATACCGTCCAATCAAACGACGACACACGGCTATCAAGCATGGGGATCAGCGTGATGGATGTGAACTATTCTGTACCAGTGGACAGCGAAGGTACGATAGCTGAGCGTTTTGTAGAGAGTCAGTTCATGGAGGATGATGATGAGGCTGACATGGGCTCTGAGGATGCTACATTACTTACCAGAGAACAAGAGTATGCTGCTCCGATGCTGGCCCCTCCATCAGTTGACTGTCACTTTCTAATGCCTTACAACCGCCAATGGATCAAACTTGTTTCTGCCTGTCCCGCATCCTGGAACAATAAAACTATAGAACGTCTGTGTGTGCCTCAGTATGAAACAGCGGATGATAATACCATTGATGTGTTAAACCTCCCTGTTCAAGACCAGCATGGTATGGTTTACAGAAACATATTCTGTGCCAAGTGTAACCAGGCTGCGAACACACGGGCTTGGGATGTTGTGGTACTCTGTGATGGAGTGTCGTCCTTCTTCTTCATCGATGGCAATGTTCTTATGACCCTCATGCCCACTCTGGCAGCTGCAAGACACTGTAGACAGACTCTTTGGCCGCAACAACCAGACAAGGTGGAGACGTGTTTAATGACAAAACAAGTTCGTAATCGGAGGAGGGCAAACCACAGGAACAGACAAAGTGAAGAAACTGTTACCTACCCTGTGTCATTTTCGGTACTCATGAATTTCGGGTTTGATGGTAAGACTCATATCCTGTTCAGCACCACTCATGAAGAATTGTCTACGGACAATATGAACCGATGTCCTGAACCGAACCAAGTCTACGATTCCAGGTATGATCAGTGTCGAGAAGTGGTATGCCCTGCAGGCTACAAGCTTGTCAAGGAGGAATGCCTCAGGGATGTGAATGCCGGACCTTCCTCCTCAGTAGATGGGACTTTGCCCAATGTTCAGACTCTCACTCATCTCCCTGATGTTGCTGTGATTACCCTGATGGTGAACGTCACACGCAGCGACTTACTGGCATTGCTGTCCCCAGACTTCAAATCCATAATGATAGAAGGCATGGCGACCTTACTCAATATAAGTTCAGAAAGGATTCTGAATTTAACAATAAATATGGCAAACACATCCGAACCAGAGGTTGCTGTTAAGACCCTTGACGAGAAACCTGTCCTCGAGCCTTTGGAGAAAATAATTGGCAGAACGCTGAACCCTGATAATGTTTCTTCTGAGGAGGTTAATGGATTATCACAAACAAAGGAAATATCACTGGATACTGCTTTACCAAGTACTGCCACAACTGTTTTGCCAGAAATTGTTTATACCAAGACTGACCCTGATCCAGACTTGCCTGAAACGTTTTCAATAACCCCTGAACAAGATGGAGTTATGCTTCCAAATACACTTGATGCTGGTGACGCTATTGATAGGAATGCCAGAAAAGAGAAAGAAGGAAAAAGTGGCGAGCAACAAATGCAGCAAGTTCCAGGGCAGATGGCCCCGCCACGCCATGCAAAGAGGCACACAAATCCTACTGCACAATCAAAAGTTGGATTTGATGAGGAGACGATAACTTTAAAATTACAATTCCTGCTTCTACCACCAAGGTCCTCGAGGCTTCACGAGGGAACAGTGTCAAGTATAAAGCAGAAAATGAACAGTCTTTTTGATCAAAAGAAATTTACTCTTTCCCTTAATGGTACTGAAGTTACAGTTGTGAATGTGGTTAATACAGCTAATCCTGAATTGACGGGTACATTCTGCAGCAGAGGGCAAATGCAGTTTTACTTTGCAGATCAACTTGACGTCATCAACGCTGTGGACAGATCAGGCAATAATACAATCACTCATATATTTGTCAAATCTACCAACAGTATATATGGTCCTGGAAAGTTTGATTTGACAATGTGGATAGCAGGCAACGTTGGATCTGCGGCTAATCTCACAGACATCATGGGTTATGCATTTGTATGTGTCATGCCAAGGATTTCACATAGGGGGTGTGGTAGGTTTAAGATTTCTTCCGACAAGTATATTTTATTGCGTAACAAGTCAATTATACTAGGAGAAGGGTTGTACAATATGACCGAGTATGAATATGTTGATGAGGCCAAGGGAATTATTGAGATATGTGTACCACAGTCCATACTACAATCACAGTCACAGAACAACTCCTATCATTTTGTCCAGGGCTGTGACAGGGGTTTTGAGACTTTCATAAAAGCCGAGGCCTACATGACAGCAGTCTTGGGAAGGATCTCTATCGCAGCTTTGGCTATAGTGCTTATGACTTATTGTCTGTTTCCGAAGCTCCGGAATCTACCAGGCGTGAATACAATGAACCTCACCCTTGCTTTGCTGATAGCCGAGAGTATATTCATTACTTGGGAAGGAAGTGTTGATTTTCCCATAGTGTGCAGTCTAGTTGCCATTCTCCTCCATTACTTCTTCCTGGCCTCATTCTTCTGGATGAACGTGATGTCCTATGATCTGTTCCGTACCTTTGGTAACAAAACCTACGTCCTTCCAGAGATACGAGAAAAGAGCAAATACCTCTGTAAGTATGTTCTATATTCATGGGGTTCTCCTGCGATTATTGTTGCCATCTGTGTAATTTTAGACTTCACTAAAGTCATACCTGGTGTCGAGATTGGATACGGTAGTCAAGGCTACACTGAAGACTCCAGCGTTAACATTACCTCAGAAGATTGGAACTCGACAGAGGATGATGTACAAGACGTTGAGTCCCTTGGTTGCTGGATACAGAATCCATTTGCCTCCATGACTGCTTTTGGGGCCCCGATTGTAATAATATTTCTGATGAATAGTTGCCTGTTTGTGAAGACAATTCTTTGTATAAGAAAAACTGCTAAATTTACCAATGACCACACACGAAGATCGTCGGTCAACCGACGCAATGGCCGCAATGACGTCATGTTGTATGTGCGCATGTCAACTGTCATGGGGTTCACGTGGATCTTTGGACTGGCTTCCTCTATAGTCAGCGCTGTCTCCACTCCTCCTACAGTTGTGGCTTGTTACACAGAGCACATCCTGGGTCTCCTCTTCGTTACGTTCAATTGTTCACAAGGACTCTTTATTTTCTTTGCCTTTGTCACCAAGCGACGCGTCTTCTATCTTTATAAAGGACTCTGGGTCAGACTGAAGAAAAGGATCAAGGCAATTGAGAATATGAGATGGAAAAGAAGCACCTCTGGGTTCAAGTCCGCATCATCGGCAGCAGCATCAACAACTACTGTTTCAACCATCAGCTAGATGCATAAACAGTTCCACACCATGACTGTTCAATGGCGCAATGGGTCTCTGACTATTACTGCAAGGAGAGAGTCAGGATGTAATATCCACCATGTCATGTCTTGATTAATGAATAGAGATTGCGAAGTGTGACTTATGTGGTCATATATTCAATGTTGAATGCATACGACATGAGGACATGAAAATTAATATGGGCTCCAACGACAGAAGAAGAATGAGTCCACAGAGTATTCAAATTCGTTGAGGATGACGCCTCGAAATCTGAATTCGAGGATTCAAAGCATAGAAGAAGACATAACAAATGTCAGACTGTGAAACAGTTTTATCCCTACTTGCCAGAACTGGTATTATTAAATATGCGGCAAGAGAGCAGTATGTGCTCTGTGCATACTCTACACTACTGAAGATTGACACTGAAGTGTACAGTCCATATGGTTCGCCTAGCGATATTGTGGTCAGCTAAGGTGACCAATATGTGACTTGAATGTTAAATAACAGGACCAATTGGCTCACCTGGTGGACACGTCTCCTGCAATGACCATACATCTGGTTCAAGATGGCGCTCTTTTCCGGTATGAAATTATAGCTGTGTTAGCAGGTCGGTTGTTTTGCAAATAGCACTATATACATGGATGTGCCATAGAATCCCCTTCGGAAATACCGATGGACACTCGTGAGCCAAACCGTTGCTTACAGAGTTTAAAACATTGAAGGGTTTCATTTTTTCTCATTTTATATGTTATGGTGTTACGCACAGTTGTGAAAAATCGTGATGTTTTATGTTATTATGACGTGGTTTAGACGTGGTTTTAGAAATTATAAACGAAAATGATTAAAAAAACCCAAAAGACAACCAATATAACAGAATGATTTTGATATAATAATTGACTTGTTGTATCGTGTTTAATGTGTAAATGTTAGTAATGCCAGTTAGTGTTAAAAGGGTGAGACGAACATGTTCAGAAAATAGGCTGGAAAACCAAATGGACCAATTGAATTAACATTGTTATTACATCGTATCTAAAGTCCATTTATCAAGTTGATCTAAACGTTTCGTGACATACATTTTTTCTGCCGAATATAGTCTCTGTACCGATAATTTCTAAATGATAACAACTAAATTTGTTTGATTGTAAGGTCATAGAAAAAACGATAAAATATTTCTAAAATGGTGATTGAGGTGCTTTGTCCAATTGTCAGCCAAATATGTGTTCTGCCACACTTGATCTATCAAAGAGAAGACATTCCAGTGTTTTTATTGTTTGATCTTGATGCTATGTTCAACCCTTTAGGGAAAAGATGGTATAGAATTGTAACGCGGTCAGGTTTTAACATTTACTTGGAGTTTTACGTGTTTGAAGATGCGGGGTCTGAATGTGTATTGGCCTAACTCTAATCTCATACTATACACCTGGAACAAAAGTTAAGCATCATTTCCTTATGCTGGTATATCACAAAATGTCATGTGCCGTTTGGAATAATTACATATGACATTGATGACATTTTAAAAAATATCTAGGATGCAACTCATTCCAGCTGAGAAACGTCCGCCTCCGTGGTAAAGTGGTAGAGTGCCCGGAGAGCGGAAGGTCCGGGGTTCGATCCCCGGCCGCCTCATACCAAAATACGTTAAAAGATGATACTTGTTGTTACCCTGTCTGGCGCTCGGCACTAAAGGGCTAAAACTAGTACTGGTCGGCTCGGAGTCAGTATACTGTGTTTAAGTGGGGTATTCTTGTTCAACTGCGGCATGGTATCTTCAAATCGACATTAGTCCGGACTACTACAAACATGCATGCACGTCGCTATATATTTGTAATAACCAAATTTCACCTCACCTCCAGTGATGGGTCTTTTCTATTTATCATGCTCAGGGACACACACACACACACACACACACACACACACACACACGTTGTTGCAAATACTATGTACTATCATACTAACCTAGCAGAAGAAGCCACTGGAAGACCAATCCAGTAAATATTGTCCTTTTTGTATTTCAATGTGGACCCGTGAAGATCCGGGGTAGAATAGGCCTTCAGCAACCCATGCTTGTCGTAAGAGGCGACTAACGGGATCGGTTGGTCAGGCTCCCTTACTTGGTTCATGCATGTCATCGTATCCTAATTGTTTGGATCGATGCTTATGATGTCAATGACTGGATTGTCTGGTCCAGATTCGATTATTTACAGACAGCAGCCATAAGGCTGGAATATTGCTCAGTGCGGCGTTAAACAACAAACAAACAAACGCACATTCATTCTGGGTATGCAACAAAAATAAGAGTGGTTCATTCGAAAATTATGCAGGATACGATTTGTTTTAAAATGAAAAATACTTTTTTCCAGGTGTATGCAACTAACTTCACCAATTTTTCGTTCTCTAATCTTTTCGTATTGGTGAAGTACCGTATGTGAGAGAAACTTAGGCACAGTCACGTCTCTTGAGGAAATAACAAACAGCATGTTGGATAGTATACTAATATATAGTATACTATATTATGTATAGTATTATGTATAATGATATCTTAATATCCGTATGTAAAAGGATCGGACGGAGCTAGAGAATATATTCCTGAGTTAAACAATCCCACTATCCAGGGTCATAAAATGCCGAACCGCAGGACTCGTAAACTCATCTAAAAGTTATTTAACGTCATCGATGTGACTCGTGAACTAACTGGAGAGCTCTTAACTTTTTAGATTTAAACATTATCGAGATGAATTTAAGAGGATAGGAAAACATAATTTGTTAATGAAATTAAAGGAAAGGGGAATTTTGCCTTATGTTTAGATAAAGAAAATACAGTTCGTGGGACATGGTGTTTATCCTGCGTAATAATGTGTTATAAATAAATTAATTCTTAAATGGTTTCCCTATAGACAATAGTTTTAAATAACACCAGCAACTTTCTATAGTCATAACTTCCCAAGAACCATACTGTATCGAGTCATTGTACTAGAGAAGACAGCATTAGAGAAGCGGCGGGGTAGCCTAGTGGTTAATACGTTCGCTTGTCACGCCGAAGTCCGGGTTTGATTCCCTACATGGGTACAATGTGCAAACCCATTTCTTGTGTACCCCGCCGTGATATTGCTGGAATATTGCTAAAAGTGACTTAAAACCTAACTCACTCACTCACTCACTCTAAACAAACTAATCACTGCTATAAGATCGGTGAACTTGAGTAGATTCTGTGGGGATCATAAAATGACTCAATCGAAAACTGTATGAGACGTTCTCGGAGTTATAAAAACAGGCGTTTTGATAATTTGTTATCTGGGTCAATGTGTGGGGCTCTACAGATGTCAAGATAGCCTAGTTACGTGACCTATATGTTGGTTTCAGCATGATTTCTGGTTGTTTTCGTTTCGGCTCACGATCTGGTACTTTTCGTGTATGTCACCAGGTCAGATATTTTGGTAAATTGTTTTTATTACTTAAAGTGGTCAAGGTTTTGTTGTTGAAATAATGGATGTCTTTCTTTCTTTCACATGTCTTAATCTTTTTACACGTCTATGGTATTTTAAAATGGCAAAAAATATTTGAATATATAGGAGTCACAATTAATAGTAGTAGCTATGTGTGAGAGTGAACCACAAACGCCTGTATATGAGTGTTATTTTGTTTTGTTCTGTCCAATCCTAATTCTGATTGGCTTATGTATTCTGATGAGTGAAATGAAGCTGCCTTGTGTCAGATCATTGTGTTACTGTACTTGCTGTGCTTTGTGTTATTTTATATATCGCACAAATATTTTGTTACAATTTGTTTTACATGGGCAGTTTATGTGCTGACTGGTTTAGTAAACGTTTAACCAGAACGCTTTGTTTTTTCGTTTTCTTGACAGGGCTGAGAAAGAAATAACCATTGTCATGAAGTGATTTACCTGGGAACATGCTACATTTTGCTTTTAATCACGTGCTCTTATCTGTCGCATAGCTACGGAAGCGTATTAGTGTCACAGTCTAAATTTGTTTATCTTCTACGTAGATTATATTTTTATCTAGATAATAGTATCATCTACGTAGTGTAGATTACTCGAGAAAATATTGTTACCTATGTCGATAATTTGATAGTATCTGTATGTATAATAACATGGTGTGAAACAAACAAACAACCAACAAGTGGTACACAATCAACACATGTATTACAAAAATTAACTAGGTTTACAAATCAATACAAATTACTGCACAGCAATTACAATGGTAGTACACAATTGAGAAGTACAATATTTAATGACAGTATAAAATAAGATGGCCGTGGTCAGTATCAAATATAAAAATACAGTGGTGATAGTATAAGTCAGTGATAAAAATATATATTCACCCAGCGACGACTGTGGTCAAGCTTCCGAGATGGGCCCAGGAAGGGAATCTCGGATGATGAGCGATCCTCACATGAATGCTGGTTCCGAAGCGATGAAATGCGTGAGAGATACGTAAACACGCTATTGTCCCCTCAATTACAACCAACCCAGCCACTGGAAAGTTTCACACACTGCCCTCACCAGTTCATCAGCACTAGAACATTAAACAATTTTCCATAACTTACGATCACCGTCCGTGGTATACCGGACCGTAATTTTACACACCACACAAGCATATAAATATATTAACTTTCTGACAATGCAATGAGCGTCTACCGAATCCCAATTCTAATTTATATACATTCAAGAGGTTTTATCCAGTCAAAACACGAGGTATCTTAAGAACCTATCGAGATTTATTGATGAAATATTTAAAGCAGTAAGAAAACACAAAACAGAAAAGATATAACATATTCATGCATGACATACTGTCATCTTGTCACATATTAATACTTTGTTTACATGCTTGTTCTTATGTACTCTTTTGTACCACCGACGGTGGTTTGGAGAATAATAAACTGAAACTGAAACTGAACAGCAACAACGCAACAACGCAACACAGCTACAATCAATGTTAAACACTGAAATACACTGCCATATAAGAATTATTTGGAGGATGTGTTATAATGCCACCAGTGTCTGATCAGGTGAATGAATAGATCATAATCTATGAGAACCTAGGATTCGCACCCATGAACATTTGATTCTGGCATATAAAGGATATAGCTTAGCGTTTGTTTAGATCTCTGGGACACCCGTAGTATGAAGACAATCACCTTATATAAATAATAACAAACAACAATGATAATAATAACAACAACAGGGCATTCCATAGTTTCCTTAAACGAGCCAAGGATGTGGGATGGATGGTAGAGAAATGAGTGTCAACCAAGCGAAGTGTCATATCAAATCGGCCAAGACTCAGTTCAGGCCCGCTTCAGTTATCTGAACGACGACTGCATCGCGTTTATGTGTTGTGCGTTAAGAACCTAGCACGACAGCAACCCTTCTCTTAAATGAAGTCGGCTGGCCTGAAAAGTGAAACAGTAGGCTTTCTGTTTGCTGCTCAGGACCAGTCACTTCCCACTCGAAACCGTCAAAATACATCAAAATATAGATATGAAATGTAGATTATGCAATGATAAATTGAGACTGTCCAACACATTGTCAGTGGATGCCAAGCTTTGGCACAGACACAGTGTCTTAAGCGACATGATGAAGAGGCTCGATCATTTTATTACCGTCTTCGTCATGGGAAAGTACCCGGGTTTGCTGCCAGGAATACAGCCCTTCTGACAATCTAGGTAATGCAGAAGGCTGCAGTGTTTGGGAGTCTTCACATTTCTCCGAAAAGTTCTGGGTGGGTTTGACTAGCCAGCGCTTCCTGGGAGAAGTCCCATTCGCTGTCTGGGCTGCTGTAAGAGCAAGGGGCCTGGGCTGATGATGAGTGAGTGAGTATGGTTTTACGCCGCTTTTAGCAATATTCCAGCAATATCACGGCGGGGGACACCAGAAATGGGCTTCACACATTGTACCCATGTCGGGAATCGAACCCGGGTCTTCGGCGTGACGAGCGAATGCTTTAACCACAAGGCTACCTGACCGCCCCGAGCTGATGATGAGCCTAACCAGCCTGACTGTGCCAGGATCACCCAAACCCTCTTGGCTGCATTTTCTATTTTAATCTGTACATAATAATAATTCACGAAATCTACACCCTCAAAGGGTTACATTATTCACCCAGTCAATGAGTTTTAATCCGTAAATAATAATAACAATAACAACAACAACAACAACAATAATAATAATAATCATAATGAAAACAGCGTTTAAAGTACAATGTGACCTGAAAGAAGGTCACTGACACGTCGTGACACAGTGTATACCTATCTTATATGACCTGTATACATGTATTGATATTCTATGGAAAGTTTTCTGTGATCACATAATGTGACACATATCATTTATACTTGTTGTGAAGATGACAATGATTAACGTATTGCACCTTCCGTCAAAGTACTCGGCTGACCTCATCCCCGTCTTACATTGAATGAGTGAACGAATGATGTTTTATGCCATAGTCGGTGATATCATAGCTATATCAGGGCAGCCTTTAAAAAGTCCTTCTGTACTAGACGGAAAACAGTAGTTCTTATTCTGAGCAACGTCCTGCACTGCCGGGATACGTTGACGAGGAATCAACCAATTCGCCGAGCCTGACCACCCAATTCACTTTTATCGGCTCTAAAGACACACCTTATATATGTTAGTGAGTGAGTGAGTATTGTTTTACGCCGCTTTT